CTGCCCTCAAATGGACCGGGGGAATCCAAATATACTGAATGAGGAAAGAACAAAGAGAGGGCGCACAGGCCTAGTGCATTACCATAAAAAAAGTTTAATAAGAAATAAAATAGGTGTTGTACTCACAAACGAGAATAAAGTCAAGGCACATCATAAAAGAACAGCTGGGTCAACACCGCGCTGAGTAACAGTCCACAATGGGGAGTGTAGACATCCAATAGGCTGACACGTTTCGAGGACTTGCCTCTTCCTCAGAGCCAACTGGCCAAATGTCTGCTCCCTCTTTTATATGCTCACTACTAGTTGAACCAAAGGTCACATGGGCGTCCTCCTGGACACTCCCCTATGCAGGTGGAGGAGTCACAGGGGCAATTGACATAGTATAAGTAAACACAAAGATCTATAAAAATATATAGATATATATGTCTAAATAAAACCATTGAAACTAGTGACAATCATAAAATCATATGAACCATAAGAAGTGTGAAAATGAAAAATAAATTACTAGAAATTTACACATATATATATTAAAAATCCTTCCCTGGTGATGCACTGCACTGCTCGCATTTAAAGAAATGGATGGATGAGCAATGCTACGAAGCTGCCTAGTGCTCTGGTTGCCATAAACAACCATGGGACATGGATATAAGGAAGAGAGTAGATCTGAAACCCAGCAGAGACACTTATTAATTCATAGAAATGCAGCCTACAGGGTGTGTACTATTATTCTAGTATAGTCATATGTGATGAAACTTAGGCATGTGTGGCAATGCAGTGCACCATGGATGGATATGCATAGGCGATACTATATACGGGGAAAAAGGAGATAAATCACTAGTATAAACATAAATGTTAATATAAAAAGTTACAAAAAACTTCTTAATATGGTTTACAAAGTATAAATAAAATGAAATAAGTATTGTTATCATATAGTATAATATCTGGTAAAATCGGTATAGTGTATGGTATACGTGTGTATGCATAAACATGGAAGCATAGGAAATATAAATATATAGGAAAGAAAAAAAAAAAAAAAAAATTAAAAAATTAATTATAAAAAAAAAAAAATTGTAAAAAAAATATATATGTGTGTTATATATAAGAATATAGATGTCAAAGGTATTATGGAACAAGCACTTGCATAATGAGAAAGCAGTGCTTTCATAGCAAGGTTGTTGGGAGGAGGAGTCAATATGGAACAACAACCCATATCGGGGCAATCTGGCCCTGTACACCAGATATATAGACGATATCTTAATCATCTGGCAAGGGTCAGACGATGATCTGGATGGGTTTCTTGCACACTGCCAAAATAACCCATTTGGAATCGGCTTCACACATGTGGTGGATGCCAACAGTCTGGTATTCCTAGATCTTGAATTACTGACAGACTCTGAAGGCAACATCTGCTCTAAAACGCATTTTAAGCCTAGCGCAGGCAATTCTTACTTGCACGCTAGTAGCCATCACCACCCCAAATGGATCCGTAATGTCCCTTTTGGTCAGTATTGCAGGTTGAGGAGAACATGCACCACCAGAGGTGACTATGAGGAACAGAGCGCCATCTTGAGGACCAGGTTCCTAGAAAAAGGCTACAGTGAGGTCCACATCGAGGAAGCATACCAGAAGTATTGGGGCCAATATGAAGAGAGTCCACTACATATACCACACACAGCTGCCAAGAAAGCCACTAAAGATCCCAACAATAGATTTAATAACCAGGTCAGGTTTTGCACCAGGTTCAATACTAAAGCCTTCGTCATGCAGCGAAGTATTCAAAAGCATTGGAAATTTCTTAAGCAGGACCCAGTCCTTGGTCAGAGCCTTGCCCCTAGACCCGAAATTGTGTTCAGGAAACCTAGGGATGTCAGGAGTCACATAGCACCCAGTAGAATAAAGAAGCCTCTTGCTGGTGCCAGTAATACGGTCAATCCCTGGTCTGCCCTGTTTGATCAAAGGGGCATTTTCAAATGCGGCGTGAGCAATTGTGGAACCTGCAAATACATGTGCCACAGAAAGAAATAGGTGGCTGGCACCAATGGCCGTACATATAAGATTAAACAGTTTATCAACTGTGGCACTTCCTTTGTGATCTATGGGCTCATCTGCCCCTGTGGCCTCCTATATGTTGGCAGAACCATGCGTCCCTTGAGGGTCAGGTTTGGCGAACACAAATGTAACATCATTAATCACAAGGAATAAAGGCAAATACAAATATTCTGTACCACGGCACTTTCGGGAGGCACACGGTGGTGACCCATCAGGCATGAAAGTATTTGGGATTGAATCCATCACAGGAGATTCAGATGGTGGAAGAAAATTCCAGAGACAAGAGGGAGACCTATTGGATCTTTACTCTGGGTTCCCTCTCACCCACTGGGCTTAATGAAGATCTTGAGATACATGGGGTCATTCACTGACCCCCCTGTTATGAATAGGTACCTTTCTGCTGAGCTGTACTAGTTCCTTACAGTCCTACTCTTATCCTTTTTGTCTCTCCTCCCTTTTTCTTTTTTCTTTTTCTCTCTCTTCTCTTTAGTGTTAGTTCCATCATTTCCCTTGTGAACTATAGTGGGTACACCATCCACTACAGATGCCTTAGATATATTCATTTTCATCAGCTATGATTACTATAGTATCATCAGTATAGCTACCACTACCCTGCATCCTTACACATTAGGTTGCTCACTTCACATTTATTGTGTCACCCTTAGGCGCATGCACTCGACCGCATTCCCAGGCGCTTGTGTCTGTGGGTCATTCATTGGTCACCCATTTTTTCATTCAGTTTCCATATATGTGTGTGTATGTTTATGTATGTATGTACTGTATATACATGTTTTTTTGTTTTTACAAGAGAGCAGTTACTCATATGGACGTGTTACACACACATGTGCGCACGCATGTGGCCCAGTGAGCTCTCTCCGAGCACTGCTTTCTCATTATGCAAGTGCTTGTTCCATAATACCTTTGACATCTATATATTCTTATATATAACACACATATATATTTTTTACAATTTTTTTTTTTTATAATTAATTTTTTAATATTTTTGTTTAAGATTTTTTTTTTCTTTCCTATATATTTATATTTCCTATGCTTCCATGTTTATGCATACACACGTATACCTTACACTATACCGATTTTACCAGATATTATACTATATGGTAACAATACTTATTTAATTTTATTTATACTTTGTAAACCATATTAAGAAGTTTTTTGTAACTTTTTATATTAACATTTATGTTTATACTAGTGATTTATCTCCTTTTTCCCCTTATATAGTATCGCATATGCATATCCATCCATGGTGCACTGCATTGCCACACATGCCTAAGTTTCATCACATATGACTATACTAGAATAATAGTACACACCCTGTAGGCTGCATTTCTATGAATTAATAAGTGTCTCTGCTGGGTTTCAGATCTACTCTCTTCCTTATATCCATGTCCCATGGTTGTCTATGGCAAGCAGAGCACTAGGCAGCTTCGTAGCGTTGCTCATCCATCCATCCATTTATTTAAATGCGAGCAGTGCAGTGCATCACCAGGGAAGGATTTTTAATATATACATGTGTAACTTTCTACTTATTTATTTTTCATTTTCACACTTCTTATGGTTCATATGATTTTATGATTGTCACTAGTTATAATGGTTTTATTTAGACATATATATTTATATATTTTTTATAGATCTTTTATGTTTACTTATACTATGTCAATTGCCCCTGTGACTCCTCCACCTGCATAGGGGAGTGTCCAGGACGGCCCAAGTGGCTGCCATGTTATTGGCTGATTAGCAATATGCCAAGCAATTGAAAAGGTATACCTAATAAAGTGACCGGTGAGTGTATATGCATACGCTTATGCATTGCTATATAATGCTATAGCATATACAATACATATATATATGCAGCACCCTCCTAGTTTAGCTAGGGGGAGCTAGATCCTAATGGTTAGACAGGATCTGGTTAGCAGCTCAGTTGTAATAGCCAAAGGGGTCAAATTGTGGTCGGGGCTGAGAGACTCTGCAGACCAGTACGTCTGGAATTCCCCCTGCTCTGAGGCTTTCAGAGGAGGGCCATGGAGGCAGTGGGTGGAACTGAGGAGTGGCTGGTTGCACTCTTGAGGGACCTCAGCCAATCCCCCACAGAAGGCTTGGCAAGGGGCTGGGACTCTCTTAAAAGTGTAAGAGCCTGCTCTGTAGCAGGTGTGTGAGGAGTCAGGTGGAATAAGGAGAAGAGTGTGGAGAAGAAGATGTGAGGCAAAGGAAGGAGGCTGCCAGGAGGCCTAGTGGGATGGGGTCTGCCTGTGGGCCTGAAGCTGGAAAGGAGGAAAACTTGAGACTCACTGGCCCCCTGAGTGCGGACTACTTGTATAGCAGGGAAAGAGCAGCCCAGCTGATAGACAGCAGCCAAGCCGGAAGTGGTACAGGAGAGGAACTGAGTGAGTACACCTGCACCCCCTGGGTGGATAGGGGAAGGAGTACTCTGATGGGTAACCAGATTAGCCCCCTACTAGTGACTGTGCACCTCAATTAAAGGAACAAGAGCCTGCTCAGGAAGAAAGTCTCCAGATTGCTGGGTGAAGAGGAGCTCGTCTAGGGTCTGGAGTGGAACAACTAGGAGATACTGGCTAGCGCTCCAGCAGAGACTGTGTTGCTGAAGAAGGAGAAGCTTGTGAATAATTTCAGGAAGTTGTCCTCAGTTATTGGTTCCCTTGGGCATCCTATACCCCCTTACATTAATCCCCTCAAATAAATACCAAAACCAATGCTCAAGGATTAGTTTCTGTCTCCGGATGAAAGCTTGTGTGGAAAATGCTGAATGATTGGCAGTGCAGGACTGTAGGGGGACCCAAACTCATCAGCAATCCCTAAAGGGGTAATTCTATATACACTATATTGCCAAAAGTATTGGGACACCCCTACAACATTGGATTCAGGTGTTCTTATCACCTCCATGGCCACAGGTGTATAAAATAAAGTACCTAGGCATGCAGACTGCTTCTACAAACATTTGTAAAAGAATGGGTCGCTCTCAGGAGCTCAGTGAATTCAAGCATGGTACTGTGATAGGTTGCCACCTGTGCAATAAGTCCATCTGTGAAATTTCCTTGCTACTAAATATTCCACGGTCAACTGTTGGTGGTATTTTAACAAAGTGGAAGCAACTGGGAACAACAGCAACTCAGCCACAAAGTGGTAGGTCATGTAAGATGACAGAGCAGGGCTCAGCACATGATAAAGCGCACAGTGCGCAGAAGTTGCCAACTGTCTAGAGTCAATAGTTAAAGACCTCAAAACTTCACGTGGCCTTCAGTTTAGCACAACAACAGTGCATAGAGAGCTTCATGGAATAGGTTTCCATGGCCGAGCAGCTGCATCCAAGCCTTATATCACCAAGTGCAATGCAAAGCATCAGATTCAGTGCTGTAAAGCATGCTGCCACTGGACTCTAGAGGAGTGGAGACGTGTTCTCTAGAGTGATGAATCATGCTTCTCTGTCTAGCAATCCGATGGACGTGTTTGGGTTTGGCGGTTGCCAAGAGAACTGTACTTGCCTAACTGCACTGTGTCAAGTGTAAGGTTAGGTGGAGGGGTCATTATGGTGTTAGGTTGATTTTCAGGGGTTGGGCTTGGCCCCTTAATTCCAGTGAAGGGAACTCACAAGGTGTCAGCATACCAAGACATTTTAGACAATTTAATGCTCCCAACTTTGTGGGAACAGTTTGGGGATGGTCCCTTCCTGTTCCCAAATGACTGCACACAAGTGTACAAAGCAAGGTCCATATAGACATGGATGAGGGAGTTTGGGGTCGAGGAACTTGACTGGTCTGCACAGAGTCCTGACCTAAACCCAATAGAACATCTTTGAGATAGATTAGAGCGGAGAGTACAAGCCAGGCCTTCTCGTCCGATATCAGTGTCTGACAGCACAAATGTGCTTCTGGAAGAATGGTCCAACATTCCCATAGATACACTCCAAAACCTTGTGGATAGCCTTTCCAGAAGAGTTGAAGCTGTTATAGCTGCAAAGGGCCAACTCAATATTGAATCCTGCGGACAAAGACTGGGATGGCAATATAATGTTGTGACAGGACGAGGCTCTGCCACGGTGAAATTGGTTATTAAAAGGACACGGGTTTGCACTTTTGCAGAGTGCAGGACTACTAAGCATATGTTCTGAATGGAGAAAACTGCTTTTGCAGCTTTCTCCAGGTTTAGGTAAGCCTGGATGGGGCTCCCTAGTTTGGAGATTCCATAAAGCCTTGGGCAGGACGGGTTTTGTGGAGGAACAGCAGGGTGTGTGCCCAGGTGCACACAGCCCTTATAATGGAGCTCCTGAGGTTTAGGAATACCTCAGGGCTCCACCCAAGAGAGACATGAGGTCTCCTACAGGAGTCAAAGAGGCTGCAGGTGGCAGACAGAGTATGAAGGTCTGCAAGAGATAGTTAATGGCCTGAGGACTTGGCCAGAGGAGTTGTATGCGGCTCTAAGCTGTGTGCTTGAAAGAGCTAATGGTTTGAATTTTGAATAGGATCTCACCCATTTTTATGAGTGACTTCTTTGCCCAGCCATGGCCTCACCCCCTCCCTCTCTGATGTGATTATGTTTTACCAGCTTTTTGAATACATGCATTTATTTGACTACATGTTTATTTGGTGCTGATCTGTTTGATTATTCTCTGTGTTTCTGCCTGTTCCATCGCTTTTTTTGGCCTTTATTATATCTGGGATGGTGAGGATAAGACGGACTTTGTTATTGATCTGAGGCATATTATTTTTATAATTTGTATATCTTTTTATTTGGGATAGATCCAATATACATACATTTTTATAAATGATGTGGTGTTTTTCATGGTAGGTTTTTTTTTTCTTCTTCCCATGCATTCTTTATAGCTTAACGTTTCACTTTTATTTCTATTTCTGCCATCTCCATTGTGCGACGCAGGAATTCTTGCACATCTCATTTGGGTTGGTGTTTTGGATTTTGTGCGTTGCACTTTGGGGATGTAAAAATTGTTGTTAGTTGCAGAACTGTCTTTACCTTTAAATCGGTCTGGTGTAGAAGGAAGTGGACCCAGTGTTGATTAGGAGGAGCAGCTGTTGCTGGTGCCTAAAACCAATGCTTTGTACATGGGTCCACTGGGTAATGAATAAGTGCTGACTTTAGCGTGAAACGCATTTACCTACCAGTCCCCCACTGTATTTCTACTGTCTGTATTGGTTTTATCTTGGTTCAATAAAGTGGATTGTTTGGAGTGCAGCCTATCGGATTTCCTTTGTTCTCATCTATGCAGCACATGAGCTGGGCTAGCACCCACAGGAGGATTTGTGCTTGGAGACTGGGAGTCTCTCTACCTTGAGCAGCGGTAAACATATATGTGTGGATTCCTGTACGCTGGCTCGGTGAGTGATTTATTCCTTGACCAAGTTTATATGAACTGCGTTTATTGCACATACTCCGGTTCCACAAGTTCGATAGCACGGAACATTTATTAGTCTACAGTTGATGATAATGGGTAATGTGGGGAGTTTTTGTTTCGTAAACTAGAGCGATTAAGGAGAAGATATCCTATTGGGATAAAAGTACCTTGATTGAGTATTTAGCAGTGGATTGGATTCCTCACGGTCTCCGCATAAGAGTTCCCTAGTTTTGAAATGGCCACAAATTAGTTGAAAAGAAATGGACTGACACATTGTCTGCAGCCTCACATGAGTTGATGCAAATAATCGTGGAATCTAAAACACAGGACATCAAAAGGATGAAATCGCAGTAATACAAAAGGAGATCATACCATTTAGGAGTCACCTGATGTTTGAAAGTCTGGATATTAAATGAGAGGTTGGACAAAATGGAAAAAGAGGTGATCGCTAGTAAGAAGGAGAAACTGCTTCAGAATAAGCTTGATTATGAGTCCAAACTGGTGTATGTATGGAAGATCTCAATACCCAAGATTCAATAATAAAAAGAATGGAAATGCTGCTGGTTGTATCGAGAGAGTTAGTTTTTTCTGAGTCTGAGAATGATAATTTGGATCAAACTTTAGCAGCATCAGGGGTGGATTCCTCTTCAGACGTGAGTGAAAGTGCCACACCTGGTTCCAGCCATTTAAATAATATGGAGGTGAGCAAAAAGAAGTACACAAGGAAGCCACAGGAAAACTTGACAAGGGGGAACGAAGAAAAGAAGAATATGGAGAAGGTCGAGATTGCTACTCATTGAGGAAACTGATGTCAAAACAATAGATAACATTTTGAACTTGTCTAAAAGAACTTTGTCTTGTGGTGATATATCTTTGCTGTCTAGGGGTCTTTATTTTTGCCCTACACGTTATTTCAATCTTTTTGAAACTATCTTAGATTTGAATAGGTTTTCCTGCTCTTTGACACTGCATAAACACTTTTTTTGGGGAGCGCATAAATGGAGATATTGAAAGGAAATTTTGTACAAGAGATCCAAACCAATAACTTTATGGACCAATGTAATATCTGTGATTTGGCTGATTTAGCTATGGAATCTCATCTGGAGGAGGATGAGGGTACGTGCCTCAAACTGAGAAGGGATCCTACCAAAGAGTATAAATGTGAGCTCACTTCTCTGATCCAGAAGGATGTCCGATTGGGTATTCTATATATACGTGAATGCAAAGCTCTGGTTCCAGAGTCTCCTGTTATGCTGATATTTTATCTACCTAAGACACAAGGGGTTGGACCCCTTAACAGGTAAACCCATTGTAGCTGGTATTGGGTTCCTGAACGAAAGGGTGGGACAATGGTTGAATTTCCAACTGCAGCCGATAGTGATGGGACTCTCCAGCTATCTTCGTGATACCAACCATTTGGCGAACTTGTGTCGGGAGGTTAAATGGAGGGACGGAGATAGGTGGGTCACATGTGATGTGGTGAGCCTATATTCATCCATCCATCCCCCATATTTTGGGGATTAGAGCTGTTTTTCCTTTAGATTTGTGTGGATTATATTCCTGCATCCAGAGTGAATTAATTTTGGAATGTCTTGAATACCTATTATCTCACAGCTACTTTTTTTCTTTTGATGGTGTTTTTTACCTCCAATGATGTGGGGTGGTGATGGGTGCCAGGTTTTCACCCTCTCACCAACATCTACATGGGTTGGTGGGAGAGAGTCAAGATATTTGGACCTGACAACCCGTTCTGTCCCTACATCCAACTTTTCATGCACTACATAGATGATTTGATCTTCATCTGTTCCAGTGAGTTCGGGGATTTGAAAGGTTTTTTGTCGTATCTCAACGACCATGAACTTTACCTCAGCTTCACTGGACAGATAAGTGATCATAGTATCAATTTCTTGGATGTCACACTGAAGGGTTGTAAGGGTGCGATTGTCACCAGTTTGACTCGGGACATCCCAAACATACAGTTAGAGGGATTCCTGTGGGGCACTTCCTATGATTGCATAGGATTTGTATTAAGAATGAAGATTTCAGGAGAGGTGACGCATATGAGGGATCGCTTGTTACATAGAGGTTATCTGGTGCCCATGATAGATCGTGCTGTGGGCATAATGAAAAATACTGATATGAACAACTTATTAATAACACAAGAAAGGTGTAGTTCCAGGCAGGGACCACCGGTTTTCTCCATTGCTTTCAGCCTAGAGTTTGGGAAGATTAAAAGTATCATTGAGCATTCTCTTCCCACATTTTTGAGTGATGACATATTTGCACAAATATTGACCCACAGTACTAAAATTGTTTCACGATGTACACCTACTTTGGGCAATGCTCTGTCTTCTAGCTTTTTCTCCTCTAGAAAAACTCAGAACATGGCTGAGTTTTAAGGGTAACTATAGCTGTGGTATAGACGGCTGTCCCTGTTGCTCTTGTATTAAGAAAGGAGAGGCATTTACATCCACAGTTAGTGGTAAGGTTTACAGAATCAAGAACTTTATCAACTGTAATACTAAACATCTAATATATTTGAGCACCTGTAGAAGTTGTCAAGTACAATATGTTGGTAGGACGACTAGGAGGCTACAAGATCGCTTCCATGATCATGTTTATGGCATACAAAAGAATCATTCTACCAATGTCGCTAATCATTTTAACAGTGCTCATGGAGGTGACTTTAGTGCTTTGAGCATACAGGGCATTGAGAGGATGGACAAGTCTCCTAGGGGTAGAGACAGCTTTAGATTGCTGTGCAAACGTAAAGTCTCTTCGTTTTTTTTTTTTTTTTTTTTTTTTGCGTACACGTTTTCCTGATGGTTTGAATTTTGAATGGGATCTCGTCCACTTTTATGAGTGACTTCTTTGCCCAGCCATGACCTCCCACCCCCCCCCCACCTCCCCCCGTCTCTGACGTGATTATGTTCTACCAGATTTTT